ACAGGAAAAAAGGGGTGAAAATTTGATTGGTTAACTTCTAGTGATGGTTATTTTCTTATATGCATTGAAATGTTATGTTAAATTTTGTCTATAGTACTGGACAAGATTAAACTTAACTCATGCCAAGTATTTCTTTATTTGAAACAAAGATAAATTCTGCACAATTTTTTGAAAAGTGCAAATTTAACAAAGACTAATACGGGAAAATCAAATGTGGTATTACACCTACAAGTCCAGGAATATCGTATCAACTGGGATATATATACTCCGTATGGAGGCTCTGCGGGAATTTTGCTACAGAGAAATCGAAAGTTCACAATTAGGAAGCAGAAATCATCTCCATTGTCGTAAATTTATGCTTTCGACCGACCCTCATTGTCAATTTCTAAATGTAAGTCAAGATATGAGGCAGGCTTAACTGTATCTGTTGTATCCTTTATCTCAAGTTCGATGGGATATATGCGTTCAACATAGTCACCAAATGTTGAATGATTTAGTGAGCGAACATCATCTATATAGCGGAAAGTAAAGTTAAAAAATACTGCTAACTTCTTTCTTTCTTACTAAGAAGTTCCCGTATGAAATCAGCCGCACATGAATAAAGGAACAAGTCAGAAAGAAAAGGGGCATAGTTGGTTCCCATGGGAATGCCGATTGTTTGTTGAAAAACAATGTCAATTTTAGAGAATTTTTTGTTTGAATCAGATTAATATTTTACAAAGTAGGATTCATCCCACCCTTAGACAAGATAATTGTATCTACGATGGTCGTTCTTGTTTGTGTAAAAAATTAGGACCAACTCTTTCAATTTGTCTTCTCTTTTAGGTCGGAATGGGGAATACTTGTGTGAAATGTAAAAAAGTAAAATCGTTTAATACTATTGCAAGATGAAAAAGTCTTAGATTGTAAGTACTCTAAAAGAACTTTGGAATTGTTTAGTATCAACATCTGATTCACGCCACCTCTAGAATAGGTAGGTTTATTTTGATTGCTGATAAAATTGATTTAGAAAGAGGTTTCGTGGAGCACTTGAAAGACCAAGCAATATAACGTTGTTTGTATAGAAACGTATGTAGTTTGGTATCTAATACAGTGATGGAAGATCATATTCTTCATCTTTGGTTGAAATTCCAAAGGGAAATAGAAGAGACGTATGATTCTCCAGGATTTCCTCTTTGGTACGTGTTTAGGGGGTATATGTTGAGTTTCCAAGTGATGTGTCAATACCTCATGCATTTATTAAGCAGTTTATGTAATGTAATTTACACACAAAAACGATGTTGTTTGGGACTTTTTCTGCGGGGACAACAACATATTTGTCTTGGATGTATGACAAGTGTTTTGGGTCTTTAACGATTGATGTAGCATAGGTATTGATAGACCCATTCATTTTCTTATGCCTGGCATTATCCGCGACTGAATACATTAGTATTTTGAAGTTGTGTTTCTAATAATCGGTGATTTAAATTGGATTTTTTTCAAACTTGTCGCAACAACTCATTTGACATCGAATTCAGTAGTCATATTTTAAACAAAAAGCATGTATAATGTCAGAAGGCAGCGTCTTATTTTCTAATAATATAATTTTGATACTAAGTGTAGTACAGAACGTTCAATACATTTATTAAAACAATACGTTTCAAATATATCAAATTACATCCGTAAAATATTTACAGAATATGTTTACATATATATGTAATGATACACCTTAAATTCTGTTGTCATGCTTTCTTTAATGCTTCTTTTCTTATGCATTTCATGTAAACACAAATAAAAAGGCACAAACAAATTACGTTATAGAGAAAGTCAAAATAATCATCCATTCCATGGAAGTAATGGAGCGAAGGCCCGTAATGTACTAATACAACGTTCGAGAATTCATTGGTATTGTATGGGTGATGGTGCTATTGAAATAAAATATAAACTTATCACATGTTGGTCAAATGAAGAAATTAAAATACTTTTATATATAATATTCCTTTCTTTTTAAAAGTAGGATTCACATATCAAAAATCACTTCGGTCCTTATCTGTTGCTAGACGCAACAAGAATCAATCGAAATAAATTCCTTGAAAGGTATCAAATTAAATGATAAAGGACAGAAACCTTACTCTTAATATTCGAAAGTTCTACCAAAAACTTAGGAGGAACTCATTCCATCCATAGATCCGTCTAGAATATTGATATCTAAAACTGCAAGTTTACATTGAAAAAATTTATCAAAGGCATACATTGGCTATGTTCCAGCAAGAACAAGTTTGGTTTGAATATCACATTCAAAATTGCTCAAAGTACCCGTTGCATTAATTACCAATTTGTTACTTAATACACTCATATTCACGTATGACAGAACACCACAAATATCAAATATTAAGTATACCAATTAAAAAAAAAAATCTCCTAGGTTGCAATTAAAACAAAACCTTAAATGAAAACAACTTGATAAATGTAAGAAGTTTGCCTCAGGTTTCGAGAATATATATTTATCTTATCAATGTTTACACGTATTAGTCTACTCACGTGCTGTCTGCACGAAGGGGGATTTTAGAAATCTAAATAATATAAACATTTTCCTGGAAAGAGATGAATATATGTTTATCATATTGACATACTATATGTTAAGTGTTTAAAACAACCACATGTGTAATAGATTAGCTGGGTTGTTCAGACAAAAGTTGATATTAGTACATGTACTTGAAACAGTCTTACACAATTTTATTATATCATTTTGTAAAAAATCAACGACATTAAATGTGGAACTTCTCTTACACAGGTACAATCACGTATGCCCCACTATCTTTGAAGTAAATGATGTACATGTAAATCATTTTGGAAATGAATGATTAACAACTTGATGAGGATTGGTCTGGCAGTACCCTATCTGTGGAATTCCTATTTCAAACGGCATTCAACATTTGTATTTGCACGATAGTGTTGTCTATAGAGCATACATTTAAATTTAGATACGAGTCATTTGATCGTATTGATTATTTCAATTAACTTATTCTAAAATTTTATAAACTTAACATTATATTAAGATCTTTGACGATTGTCTTTATCGGCACTATCTTTGATTTTGTTTTTCATAGATAAACAAAATTCGAAAGATGAATTTGCCATAAAGTTAGGAGCATTTGCCGTCCCACATCTTTTTATATTATGGCATTGTACAGGATTTTCTTGGAATGCATTCAAATGTTATCCGTTGAATAAGTAGTGATTGATATTCAAATCTAGAAAACACCGTTTATAATTCAGATGAAATTGACTTTGAAATTGTTTTCGGTGAATTTGAGTTTTCTAAGAAAATACTTTGTGTCCTTTGTGTTTTTGTTACTTTCGTGTCAATATAATGTACTGTGCTCTTATATTTAACAGTTACATAGCTGTCTCATGTTTGGGAGGGAGACGAACGTTCGAGACAGGTTTTACCCCGTCTTATTATGGTCTTGCTTCGTGTCTGTCCTAAATAAAGAGCCTTTAATTCAGTCGTTGTCGTTGTTTGTTGTCTGACATGTTTTTCGTTTATTTCTTTATTCCTTAAAGTAAGTTTTCTCGTTTGAATTGATTCACATTTTGCCGCGACTTCCTGCATCTTACTGAACAGTAAGGGTTATTCATTGTTGAAGGCGGCACGGACACCTTTAAATTTTACATCCTTATCCGTTGGTTAATATCTATTGACGGATATAGATATAACTCCTAATATCCAGATTGTCATAAAAACATATTCCTTAGGAATTATAATGATTTGGAATGAACACGATGCCTTGTAGATAATTCGAACGTACGCTCTTTGCACAGTTAAGAAGATGTGATCATTTTGTTCTGTGTTGTTAAGTTCCTGTCCATAATATGTCAATATTTTTAACACACTGGTATAATAACAGCATATGACATGTTTCTAAATATTTAGAATTGCTCGAACATATTGCTACTGATTTGGAACACACAAACATTGTTCTGGTCAACTATAGCTAGTTCTTGCTTGTGACCGTTAAGTTGATTCAGTATAAAATTAAGGAGATATTGTGTGGTATGAACGCTAATGCGACAACTATCCACAAGACTTAAATGAATGGATGAAAGCTGATATAGGCAACAGTACGGCCTTCAACACCGAGAAAACCCATGCCGTAGAGTCGGCTTTAAAAGGGCCAGACATGAAAAATGTGAAATTATTGAAACATAAAAAACCAACGTCGATTTCATTATCAGTCGTTCTTCCTCGTAGTTATATTGAAATAGCTATTATGTCAGGAGAACACCATCTATTAATGAAGTCCATATAGTGTTAACACACATGCATGCTCGTTAGCATTAATTGATATATATATAAACGCCATGGGTATGTTAGCGATAAGTTTAAATCATCATGTTTGTCATAAATTCTATTTTGAAGTCGTCTATTTCTGTAAATGTCGATGAAAATATCAAGATATGAACAACAACTTCTGGTTGAGGTTCGTGAATTCGTAGAATATGATTTATTGAGTATTTGTAGCATAGATTACAACTGATATGCCACATTTTATATCGGCATATGGTTGAATGACAATACTTAATGTGATATATCTTCCAAATTTTACTCCTCATTATCAACTCTATTGGTGTCAATACTGCTGCAAGAACTATCCCCGTGTTTTAAGGGTTCGTTGATACTCAATATTTTATTTTTCTACTGACTGTTCATTACTTATTTTCCGCCCATTTTGGTCATGGTGATGTCTGTCTTCCGCAATTTATTTTTTTTATCAATCCCCCCTTCTGGGATCTCCTTTCTATTTTTAAACCTTAACTTCAACGTTTTAACTAAAATTAAAGATGTTTTGCTTAGAATATACATACTTAGGATCTGTTGTGGGGAAATTCCGTTTGAATAATTATGAATTATGTTTTACACTTGAGTAATTATTTTATTAAACAATGTCCGTTTGATATTATGTAACATGTTGACTATAATTCTAATTTTAAATGTTTTGTTACATAACGGTCGACATTGCGAACTTTTGAGGTAAAAACTTTACATATGAAATTACAAATCAAATTAAACTGTTGTGCATCCGTGATGATGATATAACATACCAGTATATACATACTGCTCTATCCAGTCAGACACTTAAAGATTTAAAGTTAAACCCGTTTCAAAGAAACTGTAAGTATCGCATATTACAATAAGCTTTAAACGTTCATTGAGTGTCAGCATATTCACTTGTAAAAATAATCACGTTTTGTGTTATCCATGTCTAAATCATCAGCTTTGCAATTGTCCATAAACAAATCTTGTTATTGCAGCAGTACAATACTAATACACCTTTGTTGTTTAGAAATCTTTAGATGGTTTTTTACGTTCGCCTCCTATATATATATTGATGTTGGTATGTGTTTGTTGATCGGCGTACACCTGACCTCAGCTTGTGTTTGGTACAAACCGTAGCTTCTTTCACCGATATCTTTGTAACTTGTGAAGTCATTTTGAAGGATAATCAAACCGAATGCTAAAATGTGCGCTAAATACAAAGAATCGTGTCTTTAACTTATTATAATACCATTAACAGTACCAATGTTTCTGCCCCAGATGCGCATTTCGACAATAAATGTCTCTTTAGGGATGCTCTCGGTTATTATACTTAAAAATCTTGATTTTATTAAAATGAAAGATCTTATAAACCGAAAACGACAAAATATATAGCGAAAGCAGGCCAAGAAATCAAAGCTTTGCATGAAGAATATATATCCTTAATTAAAGTAATTTCCAAAATTGGGTAACAGCAAATTTTAATAACACAATATTTGTATGTTGTATGCCAGTACCGTAGTCATAGCTAATAGGCTGGTGATTCGCTCGGGTAATAATAGTTCACCAGCAGATGTATATACCTAGTGCTAGTGATAACATTAACAAAACCAACATGTCTGCACCAGATGCGGATTTCGACAAAAAATGTCTCTTCAATGGTTCTCTGGGACCAACATTTTTGAAAAACCAAAATATATCTAAAAAATGTGGAGCTTTTAAACCAAAAAAAAAGACATAAAATATAGTCAAAGACGACCAAGGAATCAGAACTTGGCATGAAGAAGATATATTTCTTTTTCTAGTTTACATGGGTACCAAACGTGCTCATCTTCTTGTCGACTTGTTCCTATGTTCATATAAGCTGACATCTTACAAGAGCTTCTTATGAAGAATGAAAAGAAGCTAGAATTATCGTTGAACTTCACGTTCCGCTATATAGATGTTGTTCTCTCACAATATTTTTCTAAATTTGGTGACTATGTTGAACGCATATATCCCATAGAACTTGCAATATAGGATACGACAGATACAGATGGGTGCAGTCCTGACCTGTACAGCTAGTCAACTTGATGACCAGTTTTTATGACTCGTGAAAGTTAACTTGGAACAGGATTTATGATAGCTCCGACCGGTCCTAGGACATAATATAATCAATGCTAATTTAAAAAGAAAACTCGGTCCTTTGCCTGTTTAAATGACTGCCCGAAAAGTTAATCAAAGTTTAATTGGTTATATCAAAGAACGTCTCGTCATTTTCTACAAAGTTCATCGGAAGATACCAAGACCTTGTTGATAAATATCCAGTGTAAAATTCACAAATAAAACATGATGGTCTTGAAGTATAGATTCTAAGTACTGACTCTGATTATCATCTTATATACGTATTAAAGTGTTCTTTTGTTTGTCTTTGTAAATTATTAACCTTTACTGGATTAAATGGAGGCGAACATAAATAAAAGACCACTGTGGACATGTACAGTCACCCAATTATAACAAAATTTATAGATGTTCATTAACAGAGAGGCGAAAGATACCAAAGGTACATTCAAACTCATAAGTCGAAAATAAACTTACAACGCCATGGCTAAAAAGACAAAAATAGAAACAGACTAACAACAGTACACAAAACACAACATAGAAAACTAACAAATTGGCAAACACGAACCCTCACAAAATGAGGGGTGATATAAGATGTTTCGGAAAGGTAAGCATATCCTACTCCACGTGTGGCCCCCGTCGTGTTGCTAATGTTAGTACAAACCCGGTAATAAGTTTAAATCGGGGAAAAGGGGAAAAAAAATATTCCCTTGAATTTGACAGTTGTAGGAAGTTAATCCTACATTTCATTACAGTAAAAAGTTTCTGAGTCATAAACATATATCTTGGGTGTTTCAAAGCACTATTCTTTTTAATTGGTGTTTCTATGGAATATTTTGGAAACGTGAGGTTACATGGTTACTAAAGCTTGTATACAGGAAAAAAGGGGTGAAAATTTGATTGGTTAACTTCTAGTGATGGTTATTTTCTTATATGCATTGAAATGTTATGTTAAATTTTGTCTATAGTACTGGACAAGATTAAACTTAACTCATGCCAAGTATTTCTTTATTTGAAACAAAGATAAATTCTGCACAATTTTTTGAAAAGTGCAAATTTAACAAAGACTAATACGGGAAAATCAAATGTGGTATTACACCTACAAGTCCAGGAATATCGTATCAACTGGGATATATATACTCCGTATGGAGGCTCTGCGGGAATTTTGCTACAGAGAAATCGAAAGTTCACAATTAGGAAGCAGAAATCATCTCCATTGTCGTAAATTTATGCTTTCGACCGACCCTCATTGTCAATTTCTAAATGTAAGTCAAGATATGAGGCAGGCTTAACTGTATCTGTTGTATCCTTTATCTCAAGTTCGATGGGATATATGCGTTCAACATAGTCACCAAATGTTGAATGATTTAGTGAGCGAACATCATCTATATAGCGGAAAGTAAAGTTAAAAAATACTGCTAACTTCTTTCTTTCTTACTAAGAAGTTCCCGTATGAAATCAGCCGCACATGAATAAAGGAACAAGTCAGAAAGAAAAGGGGCATAGTTGGTTCCCATGGGAATGCCGATTGTTTGTTGAAAAACAATGTCAATTTTAGAGAATTTTTTGTTTGAATCAGATTAATATTTTACAAAGTAGGATTCATCCCACCCTTAGACAAGATAATTGTATCTACGATGGTCGTTCTTGTTTGTGTAAAAAATTAGGACCAACTCTTTCAATTTGTCTTCTCTTTTAGGTCGGAATGGGGAATACTTGTGTGAAATGTAAAAAAGTAAAATCGTTTAATACTATTGCAAGATGAAAAAGTCTTAGATTGTAAGTACTCTAAAAGAACTTTGGAATTGTTTAGTATCAACATCTGATTCACGCCACCTCTAGAATAGGTAGGTTTATTTTGATTGCTGATAAAATTGATTTAGAAAGAGGTTTCGTGGAGCACTTGAAAGACCAAGCAATATAACGTTGTTTGTATAGAAACGTATGTAGTTTGGTATCTAATACAGTGATGGAAGATCATATTCTTCATCTTTGGTTGAAATTCCAAAGGGAAATAGAAGAGACGTATGATTCTCCAGGATTTCCTCTTTGGTACGTGTTTAGGGGGTATATGTTGAGTTTCCAAGTGATGTGTCAATACCTCATGCATTTATTAAGCAGTTTATGTAATGTAATTTACACACAAAAACGATGTTGTTTGGGACTTTTTCTGCGGGGACAACAACATATTTGTCTTGGATGTATGACAAGTGTTTTGGGTCTTTAACGATTGATGTAGCATAGGTATTGATAGACCCATTCATTTTCTTATGCCTGGCATTATCCGCGACTGAATACATTAGTATTTTGAAGTTGTGTTTCTAATAATCGGTGATTTAAATTGGATTTTTTTCAAACTTGTCGCAACAACTCATTTGACATCGAATTCAGTAGTCATATTTTAAACAAAAAGCATGTATAATGTCAGAAGGCAGCGTCTTATTTTCTAATAATATAATTTTGATACTAAGTGTAGTACAGAACGTTCAATACATTTATTAAAACAATACGTTTCAAATATATCAAATTACATCCGTAAAATATTTACAGAATATGTTTACATATATATGTAATGATACACCTTAAATTCTGTTGTCATGCTTTCTTTAATGCTTCTTTTCTTATGCATTTCATGTAAACACAAATAAAAAGGCACAAACAAATTACGTTATAGAGAAAGTCAAAATAATCATCCATTCCATGGAAGTAATGGAGCGAAGGCCCGTAATGTACTAATACAACGTTCGAGAATTCATTGGTATTGTATGGGTGATGGTGCTATTGAAATAAAATATAAACTTATCACATGTTGGTCAAATGAAGAAATTAAAATACTTTTATATATAATATTCCTTTCTTTTTAAAAGTAGGATTCACATATCAAAAATCACTTCGGTCCTTATCTGTTGCTAGACGCAACAAGAATCAATCGAAATAAATTCCTTGAAAGGTATCAAATTAAATGATAAAGGACAGAAACCTTACTCTTAATATTCGAAAGTTCTACCAAAAACTTAGGAGGAACTCATTCCATCCATAGATCCGTCTAGAATATTGATATCTAAAACTGCAAGTTTACATTGAAAAAATTTATCAAAGGCATACATTGGCTATGTTCCAGCAAGAACAAGTTTGGTTTGAATATCACATTCAAAATTGCTCAAAGTACCGGTTGCATTAATTACCAATTTGTTACTTAATACACTCATATTCACGTATGACAGAACACCACAAATATCAAATATTAAGTATACCAATTAAAAAAAAAAATCTCCTAGGTTGCAATTAAAACAAAACCTTAAATGAAAACAACTTGATAAATGTAAGAAGTTTGCCTCAGGTTTCGAGAATATATATTTATCTTATCAATGTTTACACGTATTAGTCTACTCACGTGCTGTCTGCACGAAGGGGGATTTTAGAAATCTAAATAATATAAACATTTTCCTGGAAAGAGATGAATATATGTTTATCATATTGACATACTATATGTTAAGTGTTTAAAACAACCACATGTGTAATAGATTAGCTGGGTTGTTCAGACAAAAGTTGATATTAGTACATGTACTTGAAACAGTCTTACACAATTTTATTATATCATTTTGTAAAAAATCAACGACATTAAATGTGGAACTTCTCTTACACAGGTACAATCACGTATGCCCCACTATCTTTGAAGTAAATGATGTACATGTAAATCATTTTGGAAATGAATGATTAACAACTTGATGAGGATTGGTCTGGCAGTACCCTATCTG